TAAAGGCTGAAGGTGGAATTGGATCCTCAGAAGCAGGTGGTTCTTCACGTTGTTTTCCATGAATAGTTGATCCAGAGGAAGGTCCTGGAGGTGGTGGTGGTGGTAATATGTTAATAGAAGTAGAAACATCTGGAACATAAACTCTGCTTCCAGAAATTTGTGGAGTTCTTTTATAATGAGATGTTGGTGGTAATTCTAATTCCTCATCTCCATCATCCGCCACATCTTGATTATGCATTTGAATAACTGAAGACATAGCTTCTTTATATAATAAATTCTTTAAATAAGAACTAATTTTGATATATTTTTAAATGAGAATGAAAGATAATGTTTATGATTGATTTGAATAATTTTAATTTTAAAGATCTTCTGTTGATAACCACGTGAATAATTTTTATTGAATCTTGATGTAATATAATATAATTTGCTTGTTGATAATGATTAAAAGAGAAATTGATTTAATTATAAGTTGATTTTAATTTGTCAAGCCCGGGCAGAGTCACCAATATGTAGAACTTATAACCCAACAAGGGTTATACAGAGCTGGAAGAGGATAATCTACTAATAAAATGACTAGTAGAAGTTGTCTAAGGACTGCTCTTCTAAAACAACACAATCAGAAAGAGCTCTGTTGTATTGAGTACTGATAAGGCACCAGAGAAATATAACTTCACACGTAATTTTAACTTCAAAAGCACACTTTGTATTACTATCAACACTGCTATAGTGTTATTCCCAATTGATAACTGAAAAAAAATAAGCAATATCTGATTGATATTATTCCCAATAAGTCTTTATGACTATAAAACTAAAGTAAATTTCTCTTTATAACTGTAATAAAGGGCGTATTTAAGTGAACAGATACTATTAAAATAAGTTTATGATGATAAACAAAATAATAATGGCGTAAATGATAAAGAAAAAAAGGGGAACAACAGTCCCAAAACCCTCTCAAAGTATATATAACAATGTACTAGAACTTTTACAATGGTCAACAGCCTCAAAACCAATCAAATCCGCCCAAAATTCCCTAAAAACCCTATGATGACGCAATGTAATGGTTTTGTTACTAATAAATGATGTAATTTTCACAGCTAAAAGTGATCAATGACGCAATAATATGATGTACAGCACTTCTTATGATGAATACAGGTGATTTTTTCCTTGTAAACTAGCTGAAAACCAATTTTTGAGATTACGAATTTTTTCAGATGTGCTCCAATTTTTGATTACTAAAGTGCATCTTGTAGCCCACGTGTTACTGATCATTTCTGACACCTACATGACCTACTTCTGATGAGTGATGCATAAGATATTGAGTTGTGAAGTTAAGGTTTTTAGTGTTACATGTGACTTGTGACTGTAAATTCGAGATTCACACCAATTCTTTATTTGCCTTATAACTTTTTACACACACCTCCGTTACTAATGATTTAAAGTTTGTACATTATGTAATCCACTCTTCTGCGTTGAATGAGCCATCTACCAACCTATTCTGACGTCATTTGACATATGTAATTAGCTGAAAACCTCCATTTTCCACGAATTTCACCCATTTTCTTCACTTTTCACAGCTACTACTATCTTTTTCTTGCTCATGTAATATGACATCATCATCTATAGCCTTAAAAATCCCGGAAAATCCTCTTGGCAACCTTAAATTCCATCACTACCACTATTACACAACCAAACTACACGTGTACCTCTTGTTTACCAACTTCGAAAAAGTGCTTTTTTCCTAATAACTTCTGTTTCTACTTATCAACCTTGAAGATTAAAATTGTCATAGTATCATATAATGTTGTTCTTTCATATTCTAACCTCATAATACCCATAACTTTATTTTTACTAACCTAAAAACCATTTTCCAACCTTTATACCTATAATTTCGAATTTTTCTTATGTTTTTCTTTCTTTATTTTCGTAATAAATTTGTAAGTAAACTATAATGATCTTAATATATAATGTGAAATAAAATGATGTAATGTTGACCTAATGACCAATACATAAGCCTACAAGAGCTTCAATTGATCAAAAACCTCCATTTCGAATTTTCTTTCCTGCTGAATCCTGCTAATAAACTGGTAAACTGGTAATTGTGAATTTTTTAATTGATCCCATAAATTGATCACCACAACGCACATGCACCCATCAGCAAGCGTACCCCTGGGCTCGCCAGGCCAACTCAATCTGGCTGTTGGTCAGCGTTACCAGCTATTTCATTGGAAGGCTTATTGGCAATCACCATCAAGCAGGGTGGGTATTCTCACATTGATTTTGAAGCTTTTTTGGAAAACAACTTGGTGAGCTGCACCCATCATTTAATCGTGTGGCATGTTGATTTGATTGCTAATGTCATTTGTATTTTACGTAGTTACCAGCCATGAATCCATGGCCAGCTTGGAACTCTGTGCTTGTTTTAGATAATTCCCCGATTCATCATGGTGGCTTGGTAGCTGAATTATGTGAAGCTCATGGGGTAAGGTTAATTTATTTACCCGCGTATAGCCCGGACCTCAATCAAATTGAGAAGGGTTTCTCCCCGGTGAAAGCAAACCTCCAAAGGACCCAGGGACTTCAAGGGGCCATTGACTCTGATGGTGAGCAGGCGGTTGTATGGGTTTCCATGATGGAAGTTTTCACAGAACGTTTGTGCGACAATATTTTCAAAGGTAGTGGCTATATGTAGACCAGTTGTAATCAAGATATTGTACCATATGCTTTATTTTGTTTCCTGTCATCTCGCCACAGTGGTTGTTGAAATAAAATCATCCAAGAGTTCAAAATCAAAAGGATGCTATTGCAGAGTCAGCTTGCTGTGTTGTCTGCTTGGTTTTCAAGGAGACCATCATTAGAACCAAAGCCATGGCTCATCAAGTGCCATATTGGATTAGCGATCAAATCTACATGAGGTTTAGAGCGCGTTCACTTAGCCCGCTTTTCTAGAAATCAGTTTCTAAGGCACCACTTTCGTACACGTACGAAAGTCTTTTTATAGTAAAATGCCATAATTTCACTTTTCAGATGAAGGACATCAAAATTCATCTTAGAAGTGTTCACTTTGTTAACTTTTTAACAACAACGCATTCTAAGATCAAATTGGTGATGGTACAAACAACCACCACCAATCATGTCTGATTCATCCGGCTCAAACGCCTCAAGGTCATCAACCTCATTGAGAAAAAGCAATCTTCTCAAGATTGTGATTCAAGCCGGAAAACAATTCCTAGATACTTTGAATACCATTCCAAAGATTCCATGTTGAACGTCCAAGCTCCGGGGAAATCATTATACCAAAGAAATTTTAGAAGGAAGTGACGTACGCTTTTGAGAGCTGTGTAGAATGGACAAACTTGCCTTCAAGGGCTTGATCAAAGCCCTTGAAGGCAAGCTCACTGTCCAGCGCAAGAGAAGTGTGACTGTGGAAGAGCGTGTTATGATTTTTTTATTCATTGTCGGCAACTCGGGTTCTAATCGACTGGCTGGTGAACGATTCCAGCGCTCTGGTGCCACCATCAGCCGCTATTTCAACGAGGTTCTCAATGCGATCACCTCGCTTCAATCTATCTACATTGTCCAACCTATTGCAAATGGCCTATGTCCAAAAGAGATACGGACAAATCCAAGAATGACTCCTTACTTCGACAATTGTGTGGGTGCAATTGATGGCACCCACATCCCTTGTATTGTACCTGCGGATCGCAAACCAGCACATCGAAACCGAAAAGGGGACATCAGCCAAAATGTATTAGCAGCTTGTTCTTTCAACATTCTATTTACCTTTGTGTATGCCGGATTAGAAGGCTCTTACGCAGATGCTCGAGTACTTCATCAAGCACTTGAAGAGGGTCGATTCGTGGTTCCAACAGGTACGTGATCAACATATATCATTATGCAAATGTTTCACTGATTTGTCTACGCCTTTCAGACCACTTCTATGTTGCGGATGCTGGATATGCAAATGTGCCAGGATTCCTGACACCTTATCGCTCGGTTCGATATCACCTCAAGGAATGGAAGCACTCCGGCCTGGCACCACAAACGGCGAAGGAACTGTATAATCACCGACACTCATCACTTCGAATCATAATTGAACGAATCTTTGGCGTCAACAAGATGTGATTCCCAATCTTAGCTTGTATGCCGGCCTTTCCTTACAAAACCCAAGTAAGGATTGTGATTGCTTGCTGTGTCTTACATAATATAATTCGACTTGAATCTGGCAAAGACGACTTTTACAAAGAGTATGCATTGAAGGAGAGATTAGAAGCCAGGTTAGCCCGTGATGATGACGACCCTGAGTGGGTCGCACCCACGCCTGCTCAGCGTACTCAAGCAAATGACATGCGTGATCATATTGCTGAACAGATGTTTCATGATTATACGCATGCTGCCGCTGCTCGCCGACATGTTTGATGGTATCAATTTATACAAGTACTTTAATAATTTTTATGTTTTAAAAAATTTATTTTCATTCACATCGCACCTCTGTGTATCACAGTCTCATTGTTTAATATATATATCTATTTAACCAGCCAATTAAACACACATAAAGCCCTCTTTTAAAAAGTCACTGTTGCTTTTTGATGAGTGAATTTTGCTTTCCAACAACTCTTGCTTTTTGAAATGCAACTCTAGCTCTTTGAAAACCAACTCGTGCTTTTTGAAAACCAACTTGTGCTTTTTGAAAACCAACTCGTGCTTTCTAAAAAGCAACTCTGGCTTTTTGAAAAGCAACTCTGGCTTTTTGAAAAGCAACTCTTGCTTTTGAAAAGCCAATTTTGCTTTCAATCAGCTCCTGCTTTTTGTTGATGCCATATAAATACTGGGGTTGCAAACCATTTTGCCACCTACCTAACCATCTCAACATAACTCCCAGCTTAATTTTTTAAATCACCTCAATTGCCGTTTGTTGGAAGGCAGTGTGCCAAATCAATAAACCAATTGTCCGTTCTTTTTCATTCATATCAATCACTGTTTGTTTGAAGGCAGTGTGCCAAATGAATAAACCGATTGTCCATACCTCATTGTTTTATCAATTGCCGTTTGTTGGAAGGCAGTGTGCCAAATCAATAAACCAATTGTTCATCCTTTTTTAATCACATCGATCGCTGTCGAATTTTAATCTCAAAATCGTTTTATCATACTGATACTTCAAACTAAATCATTCAATCATCAATCAACAAAACAATATTTAAGCGATCAAGTTTTAAATCAGTGCATTGCAAACTTAAAAACACAAAGTTATTATGTATTTAACTGCTACAGCTTATTGAAATTGCAAACTTAACCAATTTTGAAATGAAAACTGATTAGAAAACAAAACAACAAAAAAGAATGAAATTATAAGAATAAGACCTTTTAAGATATATTGATCATACAATCAAAAATAAAGATAATAATATAAATCAGTAATAAAGATCATAATTTAATTTTCAAACCTCCTATTGATACTCTGCTAAGACTCCAGCTTCTTCCTTCAACCAGTTCCACCTATGATCCTCATGCATGTGGAAGAAGAATGACGCTACATCATCATCTTTTAATTTACTTGCTACTGTGTAAATGTGCTCTGGTTTGAGTTCAATGTTACATCCAGCGTTGAAGATACTCATTGCTTCTTGACGTTTCGGATGTTGTTCTAACTTCAACCTTGCAATCTTGATCCGATCACTTTCAGCTTGTTCTTCCAGATCCACCGCACGATTGATTGATTGAGAGACTAGCTTTGGTCCAGTGGTGCGAGATCATTTTCCTGATGAAGTGGACGCATCTCTGTCAATCGGTCCTCTTTTGCTGCGTACAAACTTCATCTCAGGAGTTTCTTCTTCTTCTTCTGCAAGTTGTCGCTTAGCAATTTTCAGATGCCTCGCAAATGGATTCTTCTGTATTTGATATCGATAAAACCAGTTAGTACAAATCTTTAGATGACTACTTTCTTTTATTGATGATCACTGACTTTATTATTGGTTTTTCCAGCTGCTTTACCTTTTGTCGCTTTTGAAGGACAATCCAACTCACTAACACTCCCATCACCATCATCATCGTCCTTGATGTCCTCCTCACTGTGATCAGTAGCCACTCTTCGGATCGATTCAGATTCAGATGGAAACGAATCTGTGAAGAATACAAGATGTTGAATGAACTGGTCAATTGAGTCGGATCTACAATGATCAAATGGTTAAATTAACTTACCATTTGCTGCTTCCTCATCTACATCATCAGTTCCCGGTGAAGCCGATTGTCGTCTCTTGCTTTGCGTCCCAAAGCCTTCAGCACCATTCGCTCGGAGGTGTTTTGCAGGCATAATCGTGCCAACAGCTTTATAAGCTGGGAAACCATGATTTTTGATAGGGATAGCATGTTTGTTTCCATCCTATAAGCAAACAAAGATAGAAAAAAGAATTCACCAAACAATGATATGAAGATCACAACGATCTTACTTACTGCCTTGATCCATTTGTCCCACCACTCTTTGTCTGCAGTCACTATTCCCGTTGTTGTATCACAACCAGGAGCTCCAGACGAGTCCATGATCTTATCGAAGGCTCGGTAAGTTATCTTGAGCTAGATATTGAGGTTTCAGTAAGGTCAGTTAAATGTAATCCAATACAAAATAAGGAAGAGAATTCATTGATTACCTTCTGGATATGATTTTTTAACCGAGTTAATCCTTCCTTTGTTTTCCATCGTTTGTTGTAGGATTCAAGGACTAGTTTCCATGCTGCCGTTTTCAGTCCTCCATCATTACCATTTCCAAGCTCGATTTGATGGCGATACTCATCAATCAGCCAAACGGTGCACTTGTGCACCCAATTGCCACCACTAACTACAATCCCATGGTCATCATTATCATCATCATCTTGACCTTCATCTTCAGCTTGATCATTACTTGATTTCTCATTCTTATCAATTAATTTCTTATTATTTGATTTCTTGATGTTTGATTTCTTATCGGTTGATTTGTTTTTTTCTTTGGTTTTGATCGATTTGGTTTCGGAAGCTGATTTTTTTTTCTTGTTTGATTTTAATTAGTGGTACACAAACATTACAACCCATTCGAAAAACCCATTTAGGAAAAAATATAAAAATCCATTCAAAAGAATATTTTTTTGAACAGAAAATTCCAGAGGGACCCAATTTATTTTTCTGTTCAAAAAAATAATTTTTTAAATGGGTTTTTCAATTTTTTCTCAAATGGGTTTTTCAAATGGGTTGTAATGTTTGTGTACCACTATTTGGTCGGAGCAATTTGAGTCGAAGTTTCATCTTCGTTGTTGCTGTTGCTGTTTGATTCATTTTTGGACATTTTTGAGGTGAAAGAGGGATGAAGAAATGGAATGGTCCGATGAGAAAGGAAGGGTCAAGTAGAAGAGAGGATGATCGGGTCTGATATGGCTTTGGAGTTTTGGATGGGGTTTGGTGGGTTTTGTACGTTGGACACGAACTTGTCGAAAATGGTCAAGAGGACAGAAAGAGCAAAAATCAAGTAAAATTCGCTATTATCGAATTGTAGAAATCAGCTTAAAAAGCTATTTTTATAAGCATTCTGTACATTACAGAATGCTTGTAAATAACAAATCAAACACTTTTTACAGAAAGCGATTTCTGTTATGTGTAAAAAGCGATTTCGAGTCAGAAATTGCTTAAGTGAACGCGCTCTTAGTTTTTGAAGGACCATCCAAAAATTTGGGGGTTTATGACCCTAAGACTCTCAAAGACAGAAACACCAGTTCTCAACTTGGTGAACTGGTGTTTCCGAATTGTGCATCACTGAACACCAGGGATACTTGGTGTTCAGCGTCGACGATACACATTGGGCGAGCTCTTTGGGAATAGGTAGCGCAGCAACTTTGAAACACCAACACGGGTGAAAAGTTATTTGTGGGATACAAAGTTAAACCTGGGATTTTTTTCCCAGTTTCCCAGTTTTTGTTTTTGGCTGTGTTTGGAACTTTCCCATGTTCTCCCAGTTTCCCAGCTTGCGTTTTTGGTGGTATTTTGAAAACCGGGAAACTGGGAAAAAACTCCCAGTTTTAATTTTGTATCCCATAATTGTTGATTCACAAACAATAACCTAGTAATCATTCCAAATAAGGCCATTTAGACCATTCACAAACTGAGTGACCATCTAGGTAACAAAATGAAATAGTAAAAGAAGGTATTGAAAAAGGGAATTTAGCATGTATAAACAAAAATACAAGCGATTCACCAAAAGAAACAATTTAAAAGAACTTTTTTTGGTAGTGGTTAATCAAGAGGTGGGGACATTTGAACAAACATCAATTGACGGAAGTGGAAGTTGATTTTGAGAATCCGCTTTGGCTGCTGCCTTGATGAGGCGGTTAGCTAACTTGAAGGGCATCCATGCTCTGTTAACACACTTGCGGTCATCTGGACACTGGGGACCAGATCAGTCCAAGACGCTACCTGAGCCTTGCGGAGTATTGCTTGAGTGGAAACATTGTTGCGGGGAATGTCACATTCAAATAGGAAGTTGTCCTGTAACCACAAATTCCACATCGGAGTCTGAAACAAGTGACTCTGACTTGGGAACCTCCTTGTCAGTCAGCAGTGAGATCAATTTGCTGGAAGTAATGCCAGCATCTGAACAAACATTGAAAGATAATCAGATTGGTGATCATTTCTGCTACACGCAAATTTGGAATTGCATAGACTCACAAGGTTCCTTCTTGACTTTCTTGTGGGAAGTCAACTTGCTGGAAGAGGAGGTAATCTTCAAATTGTGTTTGGAACCGGAAGGACTGATTGGTTCAACCTTGATCTTCATTTCAACAGGAGGGGTGTTTGCAAAGAGATTCCTTTGGTTCAAGGTAGTTTGTTTGGCTCTGCAAGTATGTTAGGACCCAAAAGATGGTGAACTATGCCTGGATAGGGTGAAGTCAGAGGAAACTCTGATGGAAGCTCATAGCGGTTCTGACGTGCAAATTGATCATAGAATCTGGGTATAGGGGCAAAAGACTAATCAAACCATCTAGTAGCTGGTTCCTGCCGAAGTTTCCCTCAGGATAGCAAAGACTTTTAAATTAGTTTTATGAGGTAAAGTGAATGATTAGAGGGCTTGGGAATGTAATGTTCTTAACCTATTCTCAAGAAGGCCAGTTGACTACAAGGTGATAACCACCAACTTTGTATATCTGGACACATTCAGAGAGGTCCCCAGTGACAAAGGAAATCCATTTCAAAGATTGAAATTGCCAGAGACACTTTGCCGTTAGTATTCTTTTAAAGATATTGACAAGTAGGCAGGCGTAAAGTTTGCGTAGAAGCTTTGACAGTGATGTTGAGTGGAGCAGCCTTTAGTGCAGATCTTGGTGGAAGTAGAAAATATTCAAGTGGGATCCTTGAAGACTGAAGTGGGGAAGGGTTCCATGGTAACAGCAGTTGGACATGGGTTAGTTGGTCCTAAGAGATAGGGAACCTCTGTTTTAAAGAAGGCTCTTGTTGCGTGTGAGAGTTAAATTTGAAATTCAACCCTTATAAATTAAATCAATCACACTACCCTTCATTAACAAAACAAAAACACTTCACTACACTATGATTAAAATAGTAACACTACACTACACTATTCTTAAAACAAAAACACTACACAACACTCAAAAATGAAATTCATTACACTACACTAATAAAACAAATCAAACGCACTACAAACTTGAAATTCACTACACTACACTAATATAATAAATCAAACATACTACAAACTTGAAATTCACTACACTACACTATTAAAACAAAAATAACAGTTAAATGTTTTCCAGACGGAAAGCGGTAAAACAATCCTCCCAAGGACGTTACAATCAGATTCCGTCCAAGTCCGCCTCCAGTGTAGAACTTAAAGCTCAACAAGAGCTTTACAGAGCTTAAAGAGGGATAATCTACTAATATAACTAACTAGTAGAAGTTGCCTAAGACTGCCTCTTTGAAAGAATCAACATGGGGTTTTGCTGAGTTCTTTGGGATAAGGCACCAGAGAAGTTGTTTTCAATACTTAGTTCAAGTATTATTCCCGTGAGTTTTTAGAAATAAAGAAATCTCAACACTGCTATAGTGTTATTCCAATCTGAGCACAACAAAACAAACTTTTAATTACTAGCAAAGCAACAATCAATTAGATTGTTATTCCAAAGAAGACTTGTAGTCTTATCACACGTAAAGAAATCTCTCCTTTGATATAAAGGGGCAATTTAGTGAACTCAGTACTGATAAAGTAATTTAATAATGATTAAAAACACTCTAACAAAAGTATAAGATGAGTAAAAAGGGGAACAAAGGCACTTAAATTCCCTAACAATAGTATATAACACTTTAACAATCCTCAATAATGGTCAACAGCCTCCAAAAACCTTCAAAAACCGTCAAAAATCAACAAAAATCCTCCAATGTAACCATATGATGTCATGAATATTATTATTTGTAATGATCCAAGGTGTGAATTTGATCCATTGATGTAAAAAAATGATGAACAGATCTTCTTATGATGAATACAGGTGATTTTTTCCTAATATTCATAGCTGAAATCCATTTTTGGATTTACATTTTTTTTTGTAAAGTTGTTCAATTTTGGATTACTATAGTTCATTTGATAGCCCTTGTGATACTGATCATTTATCACCCCCATATGACCTATTTCTAATGTGTTATAAATAAGTTATTGAGCTGTAGAGATTGAGAAAATAAGCTACTGTCATGTAAATGTTATATGTAACCACCAAATTCAAAATTCACTCCATTTTCTTTGTTTCCTTATAAATTTTTCACTAATCCTCCGTTACTAATGATTTAAAGGTTTTACATTATGAAACCAATGATTCTGCGTTGAATGAACTATCACACACCCAATTCTGACCAGTTTTGACCTATGACGTAATTAACTGAAAACCTCCATTTTTGATGAAATTTGACCATTTTCACATCTAATAATGATTTCTCTTCTATCAAAAGATCATCTCACATCATTCCAATCAACCATACAACTCTAAAGTCCTTCTGAAAAACTCTTGTCACAATCATCCCTTCAATGACATCACTACACAGGAATTAATACCATAGTACCCTTTTTTCAAAATACCCCTTTTCTTGAATAATTCCACACCTCACTTATCAATCCTTGTGATCAAAGTTGCTGATGACTAATGTTATACTTCTCTTTAATAATAAAACCTTCCTGAACCAATAAATCTCATAACAATAACCTAAAAACCCTTTCCCAACTTTCCATACCCATATTCTCAAAATTTCCTTCAACTTTGCTAATGTGATCCTTCTTCTTTCATTCTTTTCATAACAGTTTCCATCCTTTAAGACCCAAACTAAATGTTCTTCTTCTTCCAATTCCTTATTACTAATTCTTTTAATTTAATTTTTACTCTTATACTATTTTTATTGATCTTTTCAAATTTTTCTTTTCTCTTAAATGTTCTTATCAAATGAAGTAATGAATATATGGTTAAAAAGATAATGAAATGATGATTACAAATCAACTTTGAGACCCTTGATGACTAATAACTTCAACAATAACTTTGACTTTGACTAAAAATACAAATTTTCCAATAATTTTTAATTTTTTTGCTTAAGTAGATATCCTGCTCACCACACCGGTTGCCCAGAAGTAGTCCCAGTCAGATTCCCAAAGATCCATCAAAGGCCCAACAAACCTTGCCCTATGAGCCAATCCTTTTCCCTAAGTTACGGATCTATTTTGCCGACTTCCCTTATCTACATCATTCTATTAAATAGAGGCTGTTCACCTTGAGGACCTGATGCAGATATGAGTACGGATGAGTGCAAGACTTTTTAAATCCCTTGGCTTTTCAAGGATTGTCAAGGACACACTAGACACCACAGAGGTGTGACACTCTACCAATCATCAAACCCTATCTCCATACACAGGAAACATAAATCAATTTTCCCTTGGGAAAATTAATTAATTTTCATGTTCATTTGATAGTATGAAAAATAATAGATTCACACTATGAAGATTAATTGGTGTATTATCTTATTTCTAAATTGGGGCTCTCAGTGTTCATGTATCCTTGCATTTTTTTCGTGTATAATGCTGACAAGATCATCATCTGAGCTATGAAGTTGAAAAAACAGATAGTTGGAAAGACATTTTTTTTGTTTTTGTTTTTTTATGTATAATAAAAGACGAGAAAACAAAAGTACAATCAAACATATCTCATAACAACATGAAGATGTAACAAAAAAATGAAGCAGTTAGGAATATCATGATGTCTCTACCTACACAGACAATTTGCACTGAGGATTCATACAAGAAGTTGAAAAAAAGGTCAATTATAATCATTCAACACTCGGATATTTACTGAAGAAAACATACCTATTCACGATCTAGAGAGACCAGCGCAATGCTAGGCAGATCAAGCAGCGGCGTGATCTCCTTGGATTGATATTCAATCCAGGCGCAGTGAGAAACTATTTGACTTATATGTATCAAAGAGGGAGCTGCGGTTGTGGTGATTCGTAAGTGGGCTTGTACATCTGGCTCGTCCAATCTGAGAAAACAATTCGGTTTTGAGGGCGGAACGGGCTGAAAAAGCTCCACAGATACCCAAGTATCGTCGAGTGAGCTCAGTGACCCAATTGGAGTTCTTCGATGGACAAATATCGAGTTGATCTTGCCGAAAGACATCATATTGTTGACTTGTGACCTTACTTGAACCACACTATTGGCCTTGCTGGTTTCGAATGTGGTAAAGTTAACTCCCTTGTGCACGTATCGTTTCACAAATCGAGCGCTGTCTGAAACCGGTGCAGTGACCCTCTTTTCGTTTTCTGGAAGGAAGTTCCACTCGGAAGCCGATTTCCAAGCACATTCATTGAGACGCTCGCGATTCATGTGTTCTATCATCTGCTTGTAGATGTCAGCATCGATTGCTTTCTTCTGATCGGAGGACGAGGTAGTTTTCGGAACGTAGGGGATTGGTTCAAATAATGAACACAGCTGTGGCAGGTAAGGGTTTAGCGCTGTTGGAACTCTTTTTCCTTTGAGTAGAGCGGCTAGATTGCCCGCTCGGCTGAACCCTTTCATGAATGTTATCTCCATTTGTCCTGTAAACAACACAACCATTAGCTCTAAGAGTTTGGGTAGAAAGCTGTGATACTAAGTAAATAAAAACTTACCAAGCTTATGATTGGTACAGGACTTCAGAATTCCACCCATCAAGCGTTCGAAGGGAAAGGCCCACCACGCCCAAACGGGGCCAAACTTTTCAAGACAGTCGGCGATATGGAACGCCATGTGGTGATTAGGTGCTAGACCGCAGTGTGGAAAGATGACAGTCGAGCCTTTTAAATACTCTTTGAGATGCATCCGATAGGCTTTGATTCTAGTAGCGTTCATCTTTCGCTTCAGTGCGAGTTGGACCAGGGAGACTAGATGTGAGTAGTTTTTTAGGAGGGAAAGGCGGTGCTGATCACCATCACTCCACTTTGGTATGAGTAGCAGGGGAAGTTGAATGGTGAACAAATTGCGCCATTCGTCCGCTTTTAGTTTGCCAAAACTGGCCTTACCAAGAACTGGAATGACTCTGCTGACCCAGGTGGGGATGATGATTCGAGGGAGTTTCTGGTTTATTTGATGAACAGTAGCCGGATTGAAAACAACGTCTTCGGGGTCCTCAGGCTCAAGCCACCTTCCATCCCAACCTTGATTTTCGTAGTCAGTATCGTTAGATGAAGTGTTGGTGTTGAATTCGATGTCATTGAAACAGACTCCATCATTAGCCGGAGGCGGTTGACTAGCTTCAATTTCATACAAGTCCTCATTCGCCATGTCATTCAATAGATTGCGGGTGTCCTGAACGTTGTGTGCAACAACCTCAGGGTCGGAATCTACTTCCTCGTTCATGGCCCAAAACCTACGACAATGATAGTTCAACAAACCAAGCAGAAGGTTGTGCATTGTATCTACAACCTGAAAATCGATCAACCTCCAGTATTCGAGCTCGTTGAGAACGGAGTATCGAACACCATACTCTTTGAATATTTCTTCACGCTCTGTAGGATCTTGTGAATCTCGACAAGCAAAAGCCAATCTTCTATGACCTGTAACGGTTTGTTTGGGCCACGATTCTTGGTCGAGATTTTCGATTTCGTCAGAAGTTAGATGGCAGAACGAGCAGAAATTGTGAGCGTTGTGGCTTGCAAATCCTAAAGTTCCGCGCAAAGCCGGGAGATCCGCTATAAAGGGGAGAAGTGCTGCGTGGATACGTCGTCCATTGGGATGCGATGTTGTTTTGGTAAGATACAAGCCTTCGTGCCACAAAGACTTGAGTTGAGAAACAACTGGGGAAAGAACATGATTTGTTCGTTCAAGCGAAGGCTCATTAGGACCAGGAACAATACCGACAAGGAATAGATTTTCAGGGAGATATCGAAGTTCAAAGGGTAATGTGAGGCAAACTAAAACTATGAATGTAATAGAGGCCTTTCGGCCACTGATTTTATTACCATACGGATTAATCCCATCAGTAAACATTCCGAAAGTTAGATTTCCGCTAGAAGCCGTGTATTGGACCCCATTGGGATCCTTTAGGCGCTTCCAGGCATACGAGTCGTGTATATCACTAACATCCTGGCGACTTTTGTAAGGCTTACGCGATGCAATTAAGGTGTTTTCAAGAGCTTCTTCAATTTCGGGGCGAGCAATGAACCGAGTGATCCAGGTTTTGAGATCCTGAACAGCGTATTTTCGAATTGGTGTTATACCATCTGCTTGAAAAAGTTCCTCCGAGCAAGTCTCGTCTTTGTCAAGAGATGAATGATCCACGTCCATAGGTTGGTCAAGAGAGAAAAATCCAGGAACTTCGTTTAGTTGGTAGGTACATTTTGGAGGGGTCTGGCCAGGGTGGTATAGAGCAAAGCATGTTGGGCAGCAGTTGAAGACCATGAGCTTGGGGTCGAGTTGGAACTTCGAGATTATGGTGCGAATGTCACGAGGTAACTCTTCCAAGGTGAGTTGATCAAAAAACAATAGATCCTCCGGATCTTCTGGTTGAAAGCGACCTAGAGAGATAAGCCTAACGAGTTGAATTAATCCACGAAGCGCTCCTAAAAGCCAACTAGCGGTTGAAATAGATATGTGCTCAAATAAATACAGAGCCGCGGTGATGAGGAGCGGGTAAATCAATACCGGATTGGCAGATTCCAGCTTGTTGTCCAGATAAGCCGCTGGGTTTTTGTTAGTGTCACATATAGAATTACCAAATACAAAACCAAGATTCAGTATATCATATTCAGGAAGAGCGTACAGAAAAAGCTAGCAAAGGACGAATGAAAAACTTACATGTGTCATAAATATTTTCCCCTAGATCATCATGCGGGACACCTTCCGATGCTGTGTTGCGTGAAGAGGTAGCCAAAGGTTCACCTCGATCAGCTGGTCTGCTTCGTGATGAGGTGGCCGAAGCAAGAAAACGGCTCTGGTCCAAAGACGCCGGATCTGATGTGATATTCAAGCCACTGGGTTCTTGGGGATCAATAGCAGTGTTGTGTCTAGGATTAAAGGTCTGATTGTCTGCTTCGAGGTCGGGAGATGAAGGTATTGAGTTTGGAGGCCTTTGATGACGATCTTGTGAGGTAAGTGCGGCCATCTGAGATATTTGTTCATCTTCCAGCTCGTGCGTGAGAAAAAGCTGTAACGAGATCTTGTTTCCGCGTACAAGCTTGCCATCTGGGTCTATAGACTGTGCTTCACCGCACCTTCTGCTGACACATCAACACATAATCATGCGGCGGGGATGAGATTTGATTCCTGGCATGGTTGGAATCAAGAAAGAGCAGCGGGACGATTGATCCAGAGAACGAGTAGCGATAGAGTAGTAAGCAAGCAATCAAATCAGATGAGACAGAACGATGATATCAGCATAGAATCAGGATCTTGAGAGAAAGAGATGACAGCGGAATCAACAATTGATGAGCTGAGTTCAAGTTGGCGATTGTTGACATATAGACGCTTTTTAAAGTGAAACTGGACAAGATCGCGAAATCTGTCAGGTGCTTACTGTATCGGAAATTAGGAAAAAGGGCTTCTTGTCCTTTCTCAACACAGAAAAAGGAAATGAGTCAACATCCGCCAATCTATCACAGAGACAGTGAGAGATAGACGTGGCAGTTAGGAGCTTTGCAAAAAGTATATTCTTCCAAACGTTGATTTATTTCTATATTTGTCACAAAAACCTCAGAAAACAAAATAGGAGAGACAAAAAAAAGAAACCATCTAAGTTACTTGATAGTTAAATGTACAAATATTTCTCATTTAACTAATTTGCGAACGTAGTAGTGAACCCCTTCAGTAATCACATCAGCCTGAACAGGCATATTCAATATGAACTTCTCGTAAACTCGGTTGAGGATCGCAACGGTAGAGCACTTGTGAGGGATGAATACATCTGGACGGTAGAATTGTAACGCAAAGCGGATATTGTCGAGTCGCGCTTGACACAGCTCCTTGAGTGTCCATTTTGCAGGTTGGTCAACAAATCGTATAGGCTGACTTTGAGTAGAGCCTGATGCAGTAGCATTGTCGCTTTCGTTCAAGATATACCACCGATAGAGTTTTGTGAGCTCGGTTTTATCCATTGCAGTAGTAGTTTTCAAAGAAGGTACGTGTTTCCTGAGTTCGGTGCGAAGTTTGACTTTGGTTGTGGACTTGGCGGCGAGGTCAAGCTTGGGAATATCCTCAGAAATTGCTACGGCCTCAGATGCCTTTGGTTCATGGATGAAAGGCTTTATTATAGGTAGCAGGTGAGTTTTAAATGATTCGACAAGCATGCTCTTAGGGTAACTGGATCGTCGATGTTTTGGGTCAACTCCAAAATGAGCCATGATTGCACGTAACCTGTCACGAGAGGTGTGACAATTCTCGTAGTCTAGATTGGGGTCAAAGAAAAACTTCAAATCCTTCGACACGGTTTGAAACTGATGCCATGCAGGATGAGACTCGAGTGTAAGAAGATCGGACATGGTGGAAGGAAATAATCAAAAGATTATTTGGGAAATAATTTGAAGGTAAGTGTGATTATGAATTACTATATGATCACTGGAGATCAAGATATCAAAGGTGATTCGGAAAACGATATGAAGGTAAATGAGATAATGAATTATGATAGTAATATGATCACTAGATATCAAAATGAAGAACCCACAAGACAACGTGGTACTTATAGTATATTTGACATCAAACATAGGCACATCAATTCAATTTACAACTACTCATGAGCTTTGAACAAGAAAGGAACATTCAGGTTTGCTCAGATACCAATCCCTTAGATATACTACCTACGCTAGAACAAGGTGATAGCAACAAGACAACAACTGAGCAATAATTCATGTTGAACAGCACACTACAAACACACAAAGACGCAGACTGTGGAAGCGAAGGCCAAGAGCAAACGTCAGTTCTTTGTGGAATACAAAAAAAGGTGCTGAGTCAAGATACTGACTGATCATTCAAATGCGTAATTTACTCAGATTGGGAGTGCGACGGCCACAAACCGCATGATACCAGTTGAGATATCAAAGGATACGATGTTACGGAGGTACGGCAAGACCATCACTTCGAAGAGACCATACCATCCACCTTTACATTGAGGTCCTGGGGAACGAAGACTTGGATGAAATAGATCGATGATTTGAGAAAGTTTTTCTACACTATAAACTCCTGTCCCAACTGTCACCGCGGGATCTTTGTAGGCTAGGAAGCCTTGTAAATGTGCGGGTAAATAGACAGCTTTGACCCGAGGTTTCTTGACCTTAAATTTAGGATTGATCTGAACGGGGATATAGGAGAGTTTCCCAGTTTCTTCATTGAAATTGTCGAGTTGTTGAAAAAAGGGAAGAACAGCGATGTTGAAGAGACTCATGACTTGGATTTTGTTCAAACATAGCGGAAGACCAAGTTCAGGGTAAAATAAATTGATGATATGGTGGTATTCGTATTGAGTAGCTTCAACAACTTCTGCGGGATCATGAAGAGCCATGAATTTGATGAGATCATTTGGTAAGACTAAAGATATCACCAGATAGCCCGATTCACCTTCAGGAAGAAGTTGAAGCGCCGGATTATAGTAAAAAGCGTTGGTGTCTACATTAAATACTTCTTTGCGGCCAAAGAACGGGGACACTATGATATTATAAACACGGACTACATCCTCCTTTCTCAGATCCATTGGTAAACACAATTGAGGATGGAAAACATCGATGACTTGAAGGTATTCACGTCTAGAAGGTTCGACTTTACTATCTTGATCACGACGCGAGCTTAAGAAATGATGGAGACGTTTAGGTAGTATGACTGATTTCAAAGCTTGTACTTCGCTCATGGTAGTTTATAGCTAGGATACGCTGAAAATATGAATCTTTGAGTTTGAGAAATTCAAGAGGAGATGCACAAAAAAGATAATATATATAGCCAAAACCAATTCTAGACTTCAAGCTCCTACTTTTTGCTTTGCCCTTCAACTTGATACAAACAATCACCGCGGCACAAAAAGATCGAAAAACAATATGGCCAACTTCCCCATTCTTAAAACAATCTACACATTACAAATGAAAATGTAATACAATCAGAACTGTCAAAAGCTCTCAAAGGGTTCCTGATGGCGATTCATCCGATCGGACTGAAATATGTATATCAAAATCAGTGATCTTTCCTAAGAGAGAGTCAAGATTCGCTTACCCTGCGTGGTATTTGTTTGATCACGGACGGATGAAAGGTTGTATGACAGGTAATAATTGGGTTCTGAAGCCGTAGATCAGAGTGTCCTTTGTGTGGTAATCACGTCGAAAGCGCTCCTCAACTTTGAAATGTTTCATTATCCCACGTAATTTGGCACAGGTAATTTGGTGATGATGCAAGTCGAGATTGGGTTCAAAGAATATTTCGAAGGCCGTTGGCAACGTATGAAACTTCTGTAAGAGGTCCAGATTGATTGCCATGATAGAGTGATAGTCAAAGGTTTTTTTGTGGTAAATCAAGACAAAGGTTTGTGGTCAGAGTAAGGGTGGAAGAGTAAGAGGGGTGGCTTCTTAATTTTGAGATATCCCCAACTGGTCCACCGTGAACCAGGCCTGCCGTGAACCGGTCTTCTCAAAAATACCAAGCTTCATTGATATTGGATCGACGAAAAAAAGAACGTGGCCGTACATTTACGTCAAGAAAGGCCACATTATGTAATTCTAGTTTGAGATCGATCATTCCATCGTATCATCGTACGATTGATCCAAACACGTAGTCCCCAGTTCTCGTCTTTGTTGTGACTCTTGTCTGCCTGATAGCAGCTGATAGCCCTTTAAGAATTGATAGTGTTCTTCATTCGTTGAGATTGAGATTCCCCTGACAGTATCCAATCCATCAACTGTTAATTTTCCACTCCATCCTAATCACTCCATCTTAATTAACGATATGTCAAGCACTGATCATATCGTTGATATCAATATGTCAAACGCTCAATCGGAAGATATATGTAAAATCTGCTGCAAACTAATTCTGAAAGTTTTTGATGCGATCTAATCTTTTCATTAAATTGGTTTCATATAGTTGATAGAATAGAAAAACAAATTTTGAGCCTCAAAACTTCACTTGATGCGATGGGAGAACAATTAATCGGCCATTTTCTTGATGACCAACGAAAACATCAAGGTATTTCCTCGTTTTCCACCGTTTCAATCACTCACCGTAGCAGGTCAAAGCTTCTTGTTTTGAACTGACTTATCTTTGGTTTACAGCTAGTGAAATCGTGCGCCTCTCAACCGTTGTGGAAGAGCTAAAGAAACAGATCCAGGCGTTAGAATGGCAAGCCCTTGATATAAAGGGCGAAGCCAGCCGCGAATATCAACATGCCAGAGCTCACGAGGTAGTTCTGCAACAGCTCATCGAAGCGTCCCCAGCTCATAGTCATGTAGATCTATTCTACGAGATAGAGAATTATAATCCTGAGCGTCATCGTCGTGAAACTCGTATGGATGAGTGGTATGGCGTTGGTAGTAGTCTTGATGATCATCCGAACGACGGTCGGGAAGTTCCTGGTCAGGCATCGACTTCATCTGATCCAGAAAAATGATTGAATATTTATGTCCATACACTCTTATACGCTGTTTCATCATGATGAACATATTTTGAAATTATATGTACAACTCGGTTGTTTGGAATCAGATGTTTGATGTTTGCTTGACTCTATTTGTAGTGATATACTCAAATTGATACTATTTCATACCATCGCTTTAATCATTTGTACCACCAAATTATTTACTTTGCAAAGTTGATTAGAGGAAGGTATCATGTCTCTTAGGGCTTGAAATAGCTATGACCCGATTTTTTGTGGAGTTTATAAATCGTCATTGCAATTGATCATTGAAATGGACATCAATTCTAAATTGATTCGAAATGAATTGATTAAAGATGAATGAGATTGAAATTGATTAGAAAAGGGTTTATTAAGATCGTTTATGTACACGAGAAGAAATATAATGACAAAAAATACGATAGAATTAAAAGAAAATTGAAATCAAACTTTTTTAATTTTCAGAACATTGTAAGCACGTGTCTCGATAGCTGGAAGTATTGGTGTGGGGTCTACCTGCAGCACCTCGTATTGATCTGCATGGTTTTCCTCAAGATCCTTTAACCACTCCTGATCGTAGCAGTCAATAGGAAGGCCAGGTGGAGCCTTAACTTGACTAAGAGCCATGTCCGAGCCACGAATTCGTTCTGTAGGCCTGACTCCTTGTGTACCTTTTGGACTGATTTCTTTCTGCTTAGACCGGTGTGCTTCAAGACTAAATATCAAAGTTTGTAATTCAGCGCTGCGCCATGCAAGTTTCTTCACTCGAAAGATTTTTTTGCTTGATCCTGAAGGTTCGTCTTCGAAATCACTTTCGTCATCACTGCAGCAATGATCAATTACATTGCATAGCAGTGGCAATCCCAAGCTGAGAGCCATAGCTTTTCGGCGGACCTTCATCTGATGATATTGAAACAGCATGGATCATCATCAGCCAAGATATTCACATCTTATCACATTCAAATGGTCTTGAGATCACTTACACCCCATACCCTTTGTTGTCGAACACAAGTTTTCTTTGAAGCTTTGATCTTGGCCGCTGGCCACTCGTTTCTTTCGCGAACGCTAGAGTGAAGAATAAGCATTTAAATCCATCATCATCCGTATTGTGACCTGGGAAGATGATACTCACATGCGCTGTAAAGATTGTCTTGCGTGTTTCTTGAGGGCTCCAAAGACAACATCAAAATTTGAATCTTCCGAAGTGACATTGTCGTATTGACCACACTTGACCAGCTGAATAAAGATGGCGGCAGCAAGACGCCATAAAAATGAATTGGCAGGGGAAGTGATTGGTTCCTCCCAGCACGGGCGGAATGACAAGACCCCAACTCGATTCATTATCGTCCACATTATCAGTAGCTCCTGAGGATTAGAGAATTCCCCGCCAGGACCTCCTTTATACGGAAAGCGAGGGTCAGAACCAACCTCATTACAGATTTGTTGTAGGTGGTTGGGATTGACACTAGATAACATTGCGCCTTTTGTAGTTGAAAGTTTCCAAGACGACATCTGCGCTCGAGTTGCGCTTGCTGGTATATCTTCATTCTCTCGTAGTCCCATCAGTTTGCGTACATGACCTCGTATGCGACCCTGTATGGCATCAAAAGTTTTTCAGTTCAACTTTATATCTTATATGCCCAGAAATGAAATTGAGACTTACCAGAAATTCTGCGCTACATTTGCGCTTACCAGTTTGTCCTGATCCACCGCTGCGCACATTTCCAGAAACATTGTTATTCTGAGTAGCCATATTTTTCGCTAGCTCTCGTACCGCTTGAGTCAAAGATTGAACTTGTTCGCGAAGATCGGCGGAGTCATCTGCATTTGGAGTTGCTGCCACATTCCTCGACTGTGTCCTCTGAGGACCTAAGATTCTTTCAACTATTGATTCTGGTCCATTGTCGAGTTCCATAGAGTCTTTGTCTGTTGGAGTAATGTATTCGTTCGGATCCTGAGATGGAGCGGGTGAATTATCATCATCGTGTTCGGAATCTTCATCTTCAGACAGTCTAATAGGGTCCCAGTCACTATCGTCACTTTCGTGGCAATCAGGTCGGGTGTTTCGTGTTGATCTCGATCCACTTCGTCCTGATAAGTCTGTTGGAGCAGGCCGAGGGAGCGCGGTGCCTCTTTCGCGACTTGGAAAATCATCGGGGGTTTGTTTCTGTTTACCTTTACCTTTTGAGGCGGTCGAGACGGATGCAAGAGGTGCTGATCCTTCTCTTGGGTCCCAGTCACTATCGTCACTTTCGTGACAATCAGGTCGGGTGTTTTGTGTTGATCTCGATCCACTTCGTCCTGATAAGTCTGTTGGAGCAGGCCGAGGGAGCGCGGTGCCTCTTTCGCGACTTGGAAGATCGCGGTGTGATGAAACCTCACTGGGATCGGGGGTTTGTTTCTGTCTACCTTCACTTTTTGAGGCGGTCAAGGACAATCCAAGAGGTGCTGAACCGGGCAAAGCCAAATCTGTGGCACTTGGCAGATCATCAAGATCTACTTCACCTGCGAATAAAAATGTCCTAGTCAATATTATAACAACCTGTGGAGAAGAAGAAAAATTATGAGATGATTTGGGACGTACTAATTTGACGGTTTGGACTTTGATATAAAATTATAGCAGGATCCTCTTGTTCTGGACTGGAAAAACGAAGTACTTTTCTACGATTACGAACAATGGGTAGATCTGAAACAAAATAATATTAAAAATTGTCAGTGATTGACTTCTAGTAATCTGCTTTATATCACGTCTCCCAATGAGCATTTGTCCTTTCTCACCTTCGTCGCTGGATTCACGCCTGTCTTCCTCATCTAGCGATTCTCGAAATTCATTTGTCAGCTCAAGCCGAGTCTGAGTATTTGATGTTGGTGTCTTAGATTTTGAAGGTAGCGAGGCTGCATTTAAAAGGTTAAAATTAATTACTTGTACATTTGAACCGGACAATGGATTGTAAGGTCTGTTACTCACAAGGAACGTCCGGATTGTAGAGTAAACAGAGTTGGAGCAGCTCGTCTTTCTTCATGGAGCCAAGTCCCTTCACGCCAGATGACTTCATTATGTTTCGCATAGCTACCAGCGTAAGGCCTGAATACTTGTTGGGCGGAGGTGCAGCTTTGAGTTGAGTGTTGTTTGAACTTTTCTTCTCATTTTTCTTCTTGGTGGCTCGCGTATTAAATGCAGTATTTGTTCCCACACAATCTTTCTTTTTGTCTTGAGCTGTCTTTTTTCTTATAGTTGATTTGTCTTCGGTGGTATACAAGGGAAATTCCAGGTTAACTCTCGCGCGGGTCCGTCCTGTGAGGATAAAGGAACCATTGAAAAACAGAGATCAGCGATAAGATCAAAGTAACTTCATTATTCAAAACTCACTTGTTTTTGTGGCCGCGGTCGAGCCTCCGGCTTCAGCTTCGGCCTCACTTCCGGCCTCACGTGGTCTCTTTTGAGCTCGTGTTTGTCGAAGAGGCTCAAAAACCGGGTTGGGTGGATCCATGAGTATAGTTTGAACGATAAAAATATGAAATGAGAACTTGGTTAGTTTTGAATAGCTGTGAAAGTTTTAAAATTCAGATATGATAGGGAATGATGGAAGGACAGAAACGAAAAAGTAGGGACACACTACCAGGACATGGCATCACTTATAATCCTTGCTTCCAATAGGACGCTCAGCATTTGCAGGTTGTGGTAGACCTCCATGATCAGGAAAAGAACTGAGTTACTTGTGTGTTCAGCTTCCAAAAAACGTTGTGCAAAAGGAAAACAAATCAGTTGAACTCACACTTGACTGAGCTTGAAATTGTTGATACAACTTACATATAGGAAAGACGGCCTCCATACCACCAAAACCCACAAAACTATGTACAGTTGAGGCAAAAAAAACATGATACTTAGCATGCTGAGTTGCCATTATCATACAAAATTTCTTCGAATCTCAACTCACATCACATTCATCAAGGAACCGATATAAATCATGATAACCCGTCCATCAAGATTCTCAAAACGCGTCCGGTTTTCAAAAGACTTAAAAATCTCACTCGTAACCTGCTGAACCAATTAATCATCAACATCTTCAAATCACAATCAATCTGTAAAGTCACCACCCACAAATTCCAATATCGACACTTGCATCAGCATCACTACAAATCACCTCCATCCTAGCGACCTGAGCTCATCAAATCTCCTAATGGCAGACCTCAGCTCTCTTCTTCAAAGTGCTACCATCCCGACTTTGCGATCATATATGCTCGAGCACTTTCCGTGCGTCGTTGTCCGAGATGGCATGAAATTACAGGAATTGAAAAGATTAGCTAAGAAATGGGATAAGCTTGGTAAGACTAGTCTTGTAATCTTGTTTTCCTCTTTCTGCGTACAAATATTGATTCTCTTCAAACCTTTAATCTTAATAATGTACAGCTCAAGATTCTCCAGCGTTCAGGAAACGTCCATCGGATTCCACAATCACAAGCAATCCAGGTACATCTGATTGCAAATCGGCTGGCACCTCAGTCAATGCGGATACGACTCAGCCAACTTTGAAGAAGCAAAAATTGACTGCTCCACGAAAAACTCCACGCCGCAGCGAAAAAACTCCAGCCCGACCACAAACTAGTCCTCGAGTTGCAAAACCGGTTTCACTAGCACCTCGGCGAAGATCTCAAACTTCAAGTAGGGCAATTTTGTTTCCTTATAATCTGTACATGTAAAGACTGATATCCTCAAGTTTCTTTCAACCTACCAACCCTGTAGAAATCGCTCAACCAACTGTTTCCCAGCCTGTTGACATTGTAATTGAAGAGATACGCGAGCGAAGTCAGATGGACCGAAACTCAAAGCCTCGAAAAAAATCGAAAAAAATGGTGACATACAGTAGCTCGCTGACCTCACTTTCCGATGACGAGGACCGTCTCGAATCGCGTGTGGCGAACAGCCAGCCCAAACAACCTATCATCAAACCCGACACATCTAATACGACTTTAGTAGACATAGACGAGCTCGAAGATCTCCTTTTCAACCCTGCGTATAACCTACCTACCGTCGCATGCAACCAATCTAGCCCTTGTAAAGGTTTCCCTGAAAAACTTATTGATGCACCTGATTTTGTGCCCGAAGAGATAAATCTCATGCACTTTGATGAGGATCATCTCCAGGATCAGGACGAAAAAGGTGTTAATCGTGAGTTGATCTTGTCTACGCGTCAATCGAGTTGTTTTCTGAGACTGTTTTACCTAACATGATATTGTAGATCAAGTCCATTTATCATCAAGTCAAGCGTATTCATGCAAGAATGACTGTCATGAGGAGATAAGGCTTTTGAAGGCACGGATCCAGAAATTGGAGGATATAGCATTCCCAAAATCCCAACTCGTTGCCAGCTGTGGCCCTATTCTCTCAAAACTATCCTAGTTCTCATTTTGATTCATGTTATTGTTGTTATGTTAATGTAATTTCTTATTTTCATCACTCTGAGTTAAGATAATCTGAAAGTTTCAGCTAGTGTATCTTACTCGATAGTTCTTGTTTTTCTTTTTATTGTTGTAAGTAGTGATATAATGATTAATCTTGTTATTGCATTTTGTTACGGTCTGAGCTATAATTGTAAATAGGTTTAATTTTGTCTTGTACACAAAAGCACATAAAAAATGCATTTCCAGGAGATTTGTTCTTCCAACCTGTGAAGCTCAGATACAGATCCCAAGGACATTCTAAATGGAGATCATGGAAGTACAAAGGCACCTGCATGGTGTCAAATTGAAAAAGAAAAAACTTATCAATTTATATTCTTGGTGTGTGTTTACAATACTTGGAAAAATTAAATTAGCCACGAAAATTAATTAATTTTCCCAAGGGAAAATTGATTTATGTTTCCTGTGATATGATTTGTTTCCAGGGTTACACACTGTTAAAGAAAAAAGATAACTTTTCCTAGGGCCCATGCTTGAGTTTAAATAAATATAAGGGTCTTGGGTAATACAATATAAGGGTATTATATATAATTAAATATAAGGGTGTTGGTATTATTAACTTATAAGGGTAGATTAAATTTAAGGGTAATGGTATTGAGTTATAAGGGTAGATTAAATGTAAGGGTAATGGTATTGAGTTATAAGGGTATTAAATGTAAGAGTGTGCATTTAATTATAAGAGTATCAAATGTAAGAGTGTGCATTTAATTATAAGGGTATTAAATGTAAGAGTGCACATTTAATCATAAGGTTGTTGGTATTAACATATTGTTTCTTGACACGGTTGTCCAGGTTCATATCATTAATGAACAAGGGAATTTTTGAACATCTAACACTTGTATTCAACTGTGTTAAGAGCAATTCCGCGGGTTGTTAAGCCATCGCGCTGCAGTGGAGTGGATCTTTGATGTCAGTTTAGCGCACAAAAAAAGGTGTCATTGAATAGCTTACCACTTCTCTTGCCCATATGAACGCACATCAATGTGAAAATCAACAATAGAAGTTTGGGTCCCAAGGGGCCATCAAGATAGCTCCATCACCTCCGAGGGCTCGCTTGAGGTGATCCTGGTAAATTGTTGCTGCTTCAAGTTCAAGTTCCTTGGCTGCTTTGACGGCCTACATGTGTGTTGAAAGAAACAACTAATGAGAAAAAGATGTCAGTGGTTTAAAGGTTGAGACCAAGCCTACTGCAGTTTCTTCTTTAGCCGCCGCGGTTTCCTCTGTGGAAGCTGCGAGTTCCGCTTCAATTGGGTTGGGCCCAGCGGTGCCTTGAATGAAAGCAACCCACCTGTGTGTACTCAATTGCACCAAATGTATTGGATGATACAGACATGTGTATCATCCAATGGGGTCCGTAGGCAAGCAGGTAGAATCCTGTAGCTTGTAGCTGGAGCTAGGGTCACCTAGAATCTCTCTAAGTCCCCATATCTACAAGGGGGGGGCCTTGCCCCCCTGCGCATCACTGCACAGCCATGACTACCATAACAAAACCTCTCACTACCTCAGCTAATTCATGACTCCTCAAATCTCATATCTCACTACCCTTTAAAACTATGCAGACTCGAGTCACTCCCCTTACTCTCTCAATACACATCTCCCTACTTCAGTATGTTTATGACTACCTCAGTCACACTCATCACTACCTCTTCCAATCCATGACTACCCAATTAAACATCTCACTACTTCAATTTACCCATGGCTCTCTCAACTTTGGCCTAACAACTCCATCACAATCATAACTACCTCAACACCTGTACCATGACCTAAGGTAGTTATGATCTTAATCAAAACCATAACTCAAGGACTTCAACCTACCCATGCCTCCCTCAACATATGAGCTAACTACCTCACTCGACTACGAACTCAAAATCCTTACGCTTACTACTCAACATCCACGACTCACTCCCTCAATTCCCACACCCACTATTACCAGCTACATTCAAAGACATACTCAATAAGTCGACTAGGCCTTACCTCACCTTTTTACTCCTTATACCAATGGAAGATAGCTCAGCACTGCAGGAGTTCGTCTTTCCAGTACCAAATGTCATTGAACTTCCTGGCTCTGACCGGTCAAATATGGACCACTATGTGAAGGACTTCAACGCCACCCAACATGGGTACCGAATCCGAATTGGTAACTCCAAGGAGGGCAGCCAATTCATTCACTACCACTGCTATCGAGGCGGATTTCCCAGCACAGGGACTAAAAAATCAGTTCGCATCGGCTGTCCATTCAAACTCAATGCACGATACCTACCCCACCACGATGCCTGGCTACTTATCCACACGCACCTTGGGCACAACCACCCCCCCGATCACGAACTTAAACCAAGAAAGCCAAGAAAGGCTACTACGCTAAAGAACAGTACCGAAATCCAAGGAACCAGCCATAGTGATCACACCAAGACTAGTCTCCTCCCCCTCGACCAAGTTGAAACCTCACCATCCTTCAACATCCAGCTTAACCAGGCCTCCACCAGGCCTGATGTCATCAGTACGCATCCAACGGTCTCTAGCATCACAACCGACCCCATCGAGTCAATGATCACCAATATACCTAGACGCCTACAAGCCATGTCACCAGCCCGTCAACACAAAGCATTAACTTTGATTGATGCGATCTTGAGTGACCTAGCAAGCCTTCCCAAAGGGCCACATGTACCCTCGATCACCAAACCCGACATCCCAAACCTTCCCACCTCGTTCACCTGTGAACAACAAGTATCTGTAAGCACCCTGTTCCAAGATAAGTAACTCGAGGTACCTTGCTTACATTCCAACCTTTACTGCAGGCCAACATTTACCACGCACATTTTGAAGCCACCCCTCACATAGGCCTCATGAGCAGCGAGGAACCAGTTCGATCCCCAGAGGGATCGTATGCATTGGTGAGTCTTACTCATCTGCATCCCACTTCAGAAGGCAAAGACATCTTGATGCAGAAATTTGATCTTCAGATCGATCGGCTATTCAACGACCTCCAGGGCTTACCTGACACCACTGAGTCCACATTTAACCTCGACGATCTCATCACTCAGCCCTCGCAATCTACCCACCCTCGGCCACCTTCACCCCTGCTTTCCCTTCCAACATCAAAACCAGCAACCCACGCTTTTCTGGACCCTGAAGATCTGGTAGGCCCCAACACATCACATCATCCAGGCTCAATCACTTCGCCTCCTGAGTGCCAAACCGAATCCGGGCCCCACACCCACAATAACTTCAAAAAAACACCTCAGCGACCTCCGAAGTCACCAAACGAACCCACCAAAAAATCACCAACTCTTGCTAGGGTCACTCGCAAAAGGGCCAGGGAGGAGGCCATACTACAGAAGTCGAGCATCGTCAATCCAGCCCTGCCAGCCCTTCTAGCCAAGTACCAGATACATGATTGGCTCAAACCCTACGTTATCGATGTGCGAGAAGTCCGAGGAGACGGTCACTGCGGATTCCGGTCAATTGCTGTCTCATTGGGCCAATCTCAGGACGCTTGGTCCGACATTCGACAAAGGATGCATGAGACCTTCAGCAACATGCCAAATGTATTCACTCGCACCTCCTTCCATGAAAGCCGAACCGCGGCTTTGGCTTGGCTCGCCACCACTAAACCAAATGTCACCTCCGAGCAACAATATTGGCTCAGCATGCCTGGTTGGGGTGGTGTCATAGCTACAACCTTTGACAGGCCTGTCTTATACTACAAACCTGGGTCAAATAGCCAGATGACGTTTCCTTACATTACACCCCACAACAATAACCCGCCTATAGTACTCGCCTGGGCGGACTATCACTTCTGCTCCCTTTTACTTGATTTCACAATTCCCAATTTCCCAGCCCCTCGTCTTTGTCCCACATGGCGAAGATTCAGTTCCACTGATGCCTCAAATTGGACCGATCCCTGGACTCAGCTGATCGAGACACACACTGCCTTTTTGAAGTCCCAAAATAAGGCTCGCAGAACCCAAAAGAAAAAGAAAAACCCAGTATACCTATCAGACTGACCCAAACCTCTCATTTTTTTGATCTTTTTACTATGCATATTGTATCAATAATATAAATCTAATTATAATCCACACCTTACATAAATTGGATCTCTTTATGAAATGATTTCTGAGCGTGATATTATCCAACTCACTGAAAGCCTTTGGCAAGCGTAAATGGGAAGGACTGCAATAAATTTAAGCAGTGTGTACTGAAAAAAGGTACATTTTGTCGATACAATGCAATAATTTGGCTATATACATGTACAATATAGGTCCTCTCCACAAACTGCAGCTAAATCCTTCACATCTTTCACACCCCGATCCCCTGCCAATCCATGGCTTCGTCAGGCAGGT